TTGCCTTACTTAAGCAGCCTCACCAACATCACCAAATTCTAAAGGAGTAGGAATTTGACCTATAATGTCATAATAGGATTGGAAAATTTAACCCTAATCTATACACCAGTTCACAGACCAATGATTTTAAGTACTGAAAGTATTTAGCTGCCAGTGGTTTGAAATGGGGATAGACACTTTCAGAGTCTTGTGCAGCTACAGTTTTCCTATAACCATATTTACATAAGACACTTTTGCTACACAGATAACATGTTGGAAGGAATAAATGTGCACATTATGGTGAAATAGGCAACTGTGTGTTCTGAATTTATGATTTTAGTCATGTATCCTGTTCATGCACATTCATTTCCTTATATGGAGTTGAAACCAATGTAAGAAAAAACTGAGGGTGGGATCCAAGATTTCCATTCTGCTGACAGAACTGCTTCCATCAAGAGAACAAGGAGAAGAGGGATATCCCTTCAGCCCCCTCCCTTCTCCTTGTGCCCTCAAAAACCTGTTCCAACAAAGTAGGAATCTATTCAGAAGTTTTTGGGAAACATGGAAGGGATTATGGGAAAGGGGAAGGAAAGAAATCCTCAGTGCACTAGTGTATATCTGCTAATATACTGCTGGATGTAAGCCCAGATTTCTAAGTTTTTTTATTATGTCATCAATATTTTTCTTGCCCATTGATTCATATGCAAAGTTTTCATGGAAATTCTGTATGTGCAAGAAGGACAGAGTGTTCTACATTTTTAAAATACTAAGGAAAAGCAAATCTGATATTTATGTTCCATTGACAGGTTTTTGCTTACAGCATGCATCCACATCAGATTTATGATACAAATCCAGCTACAACTATTTTAAAAATATTCTTACATTTGATGACACTGGGTTGTGCTCAATATTTAGTTCTGCTGTGTACATTATTTCACTGAATGTTCAAATCAAATGCAAACTAGAATTTTGAAGTCTGTAAACATTGGCAGGGAACTATAGCTAAATTTAGATGTAGTGTTTGCACTGTCTGTTGTTTTTCCAGTTCTTTTAAGGAGGGTGAGATTGTAAAAATGTTCATGAATTTGACCTAATTCGTTTCCCTTTTTGTCTAGGTTTGCAAAGCATACCAGGGGACTACATATCTCAGGGTGGTCCTATGGGTATGAGTATGACACAGTCAAGTTACACTCCTCCCCAGATGACCTCTCACCCTACTCAATTAAGACATGGACCCCCAATCCATTCATATTTGCCAAGTCACCCCCATCACCCAGCCATGATGATGCACGGAGGACCCCCTACCCATCCTGGAATGACCATGTCAGCACAGAGCCCTGCCATGTTAAATTCTGTAGACCCCAGTGTCGGTGGACAGCTTATGGACATCCATGCCCAATAGTATAAGGGAACTCAAGGAAAGAGAAAAAAAACTGTTTTAAGACTTTCGAACTTTGACCAGATGTTGACACTTCACACACAATTCCAGACAGCTGTGATTATTTTTTACTTTTATCATTTTTCATCAACAACAGAGGACCAATGGAAACAAGAACATAAATGTGAAATCATGGGCTCACTGAAAACAATCTATGTCCATGTAAAGATCCTCTGGGGGGGAAAGACTCCAAGAGTTATAACTACTGTAGTATATTAAACATAGGAACTAAGTTAACTTGTATATTTCTGTTGATCACTCCGTTATGTTGCCTCAAATAGTTTTAGAAGGAGAAAAATATCCTTGTTTTCCACACTATGTGTGTTGTTCCCAAAAGAATGACTGTTTTGGTTCAGCAGTGAAGTCACGATCCATGAAAGACAGCGGTATATTTCAGACCTGTTTTGGCCAGTGAGAAAGGAACTACCCTGGAGAAGACGATGAAGTCTTGCTGGGTCTCTCATCACTCAGAAGACAATTGGAAGAAGGCCTTGCCATCCCCTGGTTTTGTTCCTTCATAAATGTGTCCTTTAGTTTCAAACAGATCTTTATAGTTTGTGCTTCATAAGCCCAAGATATTTTTGGACTCTTTTTTTCAAAGAGCTTGCAGGTGAAGATTTACAAAGACAAAGCAGGAACTTCTTCCAGTAGTTCTGAGCCTTGGCTTGGGACAGGACAAATCTGAAGGTTGGGCAGCTTTCCTCAACAAAAGAAGATATTAATGGTCTTTGCACCAAACCTAGAACTTTTATCATGAACTCAAAGCTTGGGAAAAAGCAAGAGAATACTGTAACAAACTTCGTACAGAGTTCGGTCTATTAATTGTTTCATGTTAGATATTCTATGTGTTTACCTCAATTGAAAAAAAAGAATGTTTTTGCTAGTATCAGATCTGCTGTGGAATTGGTATTGTATGTCCATGAATTCTTCCTTTCTCAGCACGTGTTCCTCACTAGAAAAAAATGCTGTTACCTTTAAGCTTTGTCAAAATTTACATTAAAATACTTGTATGAGGACTGTGACGTTATGTTTTAAAAAAAGGTGTTAAGTCACAAAATGCGGTAATAAATATTTCATTTTTGATTTTTTGTTAGGCCTTTGTGTTTTCAATCTTGATTAGATAAAACTAAAGGATCCTGGGGAGGAACGATAGAAATTTGTACCAACAAAAATGCAGACAAATATAGATTTATATATCCATATTTATAGCTATCTGTCTATCTATCTATATATCTATATCTATATGCGACATTAATAGGGTTTTAGAGTATGTGAGGTTTTAAATGCCTAAACATGAAATCAGAATGTTAGAGATATGTATGATCTTTATGTCTAGAGCTAAAAAATGTGTGAGTACTTGCATGTAAGTCGTGAAAGGAAGTGTATGAATATTTATTTCAATTTCTTCCAATGCTACCCCCCTAGGCTTTAGTTGAACAAATACACTGCTGACTTTAAAGCACAGCTTGTCTGTAGACAAGATTGCAGAATGGAGCTGTTAATATTAGGAGTACATCAGTAGCAAAACTAGCTCCTGCTTTATCAGTTATAAACAACCATCTTACTGCTCTGTTATATTTAATGTGGGTTATTTGAATGTCTCCCAAAGTTGTACCAAACAAAATCCACCTTAAAGCTAATAGGAATAGATTTGCAGTATTTTTATGATAGTTCATATTTTATGCATGTTTACTTAGATACAAGTTGCAATGGATTCAGCGGATCTTACTCCACGGCATGTGTGCATTGGAGACATAGATACATGACATCAGTGTTGCAGTACTTAAATATCTATTGGTCTGCATTGGATAGGCATACATTATATGTCAGTTCTCCCCTACTTAATATATTTCTCTTAGTATAGATTTGTTCAGACTTGGAACAGATCCATTGGGCTCCATTAATCTACTAAAAGTATGACTAAAGCTGAATCCACATGAGGGCTGCGTCCCAGTTCCAGTGAGCATTATACTGCTCCACTTTGACCTCGCTAATGCCCAACTCACCTGTTTAAATTCTATCTCAAACTGGTCTTGAAAGCCACACAGTTCCCCTTTCTTGAAACCACCTTAGTACAAAATGGTGTTTCCGGCATGTCTGTGAGCTCACTGTATTGGATTCTTTTAGATCACATGACAGCAGTGTGTGCCAAGTTTGTTTCCCCATGCCACCATGCATAAACTCATCAATCAATCACCTTTCTTGCCTTCCTTTCAATCTTACCATCCACCAGCATTCCCATTATATGGCTTCCCTATGCAATCCCACTCTCTTCCTACCCAAATAGGTTAACAAAGAGGTTTTAATAATCCTGACAGAAAGGCAAGCACAGGACAGAGGCGGGTTGTGTCTGAGTCAACAGTGTAAGAGTAGTGGGAAGGGATTTTGGTGACTCTCCTCATGCCCCCCCCCCCGCTTCCTTCATTGACACCAGAGATCTGGGCACTACCTGCCTACCTACCTGCCTCCTTCCCTCCAACTCCCACTATCTGCCTGCCCCATTGAGTTAGTAAGCAATTGATCGATGGGGAGGAGAGTGCAGGTCCTCTATCTGATCCCCTTTCTATCTGCCTACCCTCCCGGGTGATTCAGTGAGTGAGAGACTGATTGGGGGGGGGGCACATGTGTCCCCCTCATCCCAATCTCTCCATCTGGTCCCCTTCTCCCCACCTGCCCCAGTGAATGAGTGATGAGCTGGATGCCTGCAAATGTAGAGGGGCAGCTGTATTTAATAAAATGCAATGAAATAATAAATATTATTTCATTGCAATCTCCAACAAGCAAAAAATCTCAGACCTTTGGTAAAAAAAAGAAAAGAAATGGCATCTAGATAACTACCCACAAAACTGCCCTGACTCCCAGTTCCATCCCAGTTCCAATTTGAGTGGAGGACATACATTGCATTACAAACTTGTTTTTTACTAAAAACCGCAGAACCAAAAGTTTAAAAAAAAATAAATTTCATTAAAGACTAAAAGAAGTGTTATGAAAATGGAGGTGTGTTTTCTGTTCCAACAACACTGGGATCAAGGTAAGGATAGATAATTTTGTAAGTGTAGATCCATCTTAAGTTTCACTCTAAGAAAACACATTCATAAATAATTGTCTTATGTGATTGAATAAGGTGAGCTTTAGCAACAGAATTTTTGGAAATGAGAAGAGGAGCTGGAGTTTTGACTCGTCTGTTACTAAAGGTAAGTAAAAATTAATTATGTTAAACAAGAAGTGGTCGAGAATAGTGATCTTGTGGAGGTGATGGTGGCTTTGCCTGTTAAAGTCAAGATATGCATGATGAGCCCTTTGCTTGTACATGGACCTCCTTCATCTCTCACTTCATAGTATGGAGAAATCAAATTAGGAAGTGTTTTAAACTCAGAATAGTTTTTGGTTTTATCCAGTCCAGCAAACTTTAGAACTAGTTAAGATATATAAACTGCATTTTGAAGTTAATTTTGCAATGAGATATGTTATGAACCTGGCAACTATATCTAGTTCAAGCTTCAATATGGATAAAGCAAGAATGCTGGCTGGGCATTTTGAAATAAATCAGTAAAGAGCAGCAACTTGCTAGCCCAGAGTCCATATTCCTATGGGAAGCAGCATTGATTTTACAGGATCCTAGATAGAATGGAGAGTATCCATATGTAGATAATTCTTCTCTCCAGAAAGTCACTCTCTATGTGAAGAGAAGGGAAAACCTTGGAGGGAAAGGGAAGGACTAGCACATTCTATGCCCTCATATTTACAATTCAAAGTGCTTGAATAGACTAAAGTTAATCATCACATACTCCTTAGTTTAATCACAGTTCATGTGAAGGGACTGTGGGCATGGGGATAAAAGGCTTCTGGCTATCTTGGCTTAATGAGCTTCTGACTGACCCCAAAGCATGCCTCATATCCTTACTAGCCCTTGACACTCATGTGGACAGGTCCTTCTTCATCCAGACCCACTCTCTCTCTTTTTCTTTCTAACAGTTGATGGGACAGGCAAGTAGAGCAGTCTTGAATACATTTACAGGAAAGCTGGATATAATTGCACTCCATGATACCCACTGAAGTCAGTGAGTTGGTTGGCTGTATGTTTTCTGTATGCTACAGAGCAGACAAATTGAAACTTCTCTTCCATATGCATCCAGTATATTTAGTGAAGTTGTATGTCAAATTATGTTTAGGGATTGTGAAATCAGGGCTAGACCCCCCCCCCCCCGCCCTTTAATTACTGGTGGTTATTTGTAGGGTAAGCATTGCTCTTGGAGGCAATTCACATCAAATAATGGAAGAATTCAATTGATTTCATTGGATATGCGCTTATTATGCAATCTCGTTACGAATTGTTGCTGTATTTAATATTTGCAAAATGTTCTCCTACCCTGCATCTCGCTATGCAGAACAGTAAGGCAACAATTTCCCATGGAAGAGGGAAGAAGAAGGTAAGAATTGGTGTCACTCTGAATTGGGGGCATTACACTCCATGTCAGGTCAGCTCTGCTTTCTCAGTTTATATCTCCAGGTATATCGGCAAAAGCTTTCATCTCAAACTTCCATATATTTAACAGTTTAAGCTACAAATGTAATGATGATGTAATGATCATCTGGGGAGGCCCTGCTCTCGGTCCCGCCTGCCTCACAAGTATGGCTTACGAGGATGAGAGACAAGGCCTTCTCAGTGGTGGCCCCTCAGTTGTGGAACTCTCTTCCTAGCGACATCAGATCAGCCCCTCCCTACTAGCCTTCAGGAAGAGTGTCAAAACCTGGGTCTGGGAGCAGGCTTTTGAAAATTAGGGCAATGCAGTATGCTGAATATAGAATAATGTGCAATGTGATCTTGGAATGGCCTTAGACCTTGAACTCTGGAGGTGTGTTTTTAACTTTGAATGTATTTTAACAATTTTAAATATGTTGTAATTTTAAACTATTTTAAGGTGAACGTATTGTTTTGAGGTACTGTGTACGTGCCATTGTAAGCCACCTTGAGTCCCCCTGTTGGGGTAGAGAAAGGCGGGGTATAAATATGGCAAATAAATAAATAAATAAAATTATTCCCAGACTGGTGCTCAGCCTGTAACAGAAGGGAGGGTGTTTTGTAGGCATATCTTAAAGTTTAGTTGGCAATAATATTGCTGTATTGTAGTATTTTGTTCGCATTGGAGGGGAGGTAGATTCTAGATTTGGTGTTACATTTTATTCCAGCCCAACTGTCTAGATTCCCACTTCCTTGTAAATAAACCTCCCAAACATAGGATTATTTGCAGAAGATACTAAAACATTTCCTACTATGCTTGTATCTCAATAAGCAAAGTCAAACAAAACCAGTAGCATTTTAATTCAAACTTTCTGCACGTTTCCTAACCTTTGGCAGCATATTAACTGTGGAGGCAAGATACAGGGGCAAACTCGCTCTATTTTTGTAATGAACTAAAATCTTCCTATTGCTCTAGTGTTCACCCCCCTTTCTCTGGGCTTTAATCTGCTTGAGCTGTGTTACTGGAATCCTTGCTGCAATATAATGTGAGGAGATTGCTCCAATCTGAGGTTTACTATTTAGTATAGAGGGTTCCGATTTGGGTGTATTTAAGAAATGTTCAGCTGTCAAAAGTGAAAGAAAACGGGAATAGTGTTTTGACAGCAATATAGTGTTAAAGGAAATACTGTAGTCTGACTAAAATTGCTTATGTTCTGGGAAACGAAGGGTAATAGAAAAACACCTCTTGTTTATAGGTGTTTGGGGGGAACCAAAATTTCCATTTCCCTGAACAAATGGAGGAAGAATTCTAGCAAATCAAAAATGTTTGAGAAGATCTATTTCTTGTTTTGGATGGGGGAAGGGGGCAGGCCTGTTTCTGTTGGATTTGGCTGTCCTTTATCAACTCCTAATACTAGAAGAAGTAGCAGATTGGGGACTTTTTTCCCAGTTGAGAGAATTGGGTGTACAAAAACATACTGTACCTGCAGAGGCCCAGCCAAGGTCACCCTGAAGTTTACATTATAGGGTTTTTTTTTATTTTCAATCCAAAAGCTATTTCTCTGAAGCACCTTTTGGGCATGTGTCACCAAAGATGCAGCTACACTGTAGAATTAATGCA